TTGAGACAATGAGGACCAAAAGTGCCACTAGAAGTTGACAGTCTCAAAATGTGTCACATGTCAAGAACGGTGGGGGCCATCATACCACATCGAAATTGGAAAAACTTAAATGCAAGATTCCAAAAAACAAAGGGTAGCTGGGATAGGAAAAGGGTCCTTGGAAATTACGAACCTAGAGAGTCGAAGGGTGTCAAGAATGCAAAGGTCCTCTAAGTCTTGTTCCCGAGCTCTAACTACTTTGTCATACCACTCTTCCCACCCAGTCTTCAATGTGGGCCAGCAACAGTGAGGTCTGTTAACCCTCCAACTTCTCCAGTTGTAGCTTCCTTTGTAGAGAATGTAGTGTTCCTCCAAGCGTGGGTATAAAGGAGGAAGTGTAGCAGGAGCCTCTTTAAAAATAAGGCTAAGAACGTATTCCCCTCGAGCATAGTAACGAGGGATGAAGATTCTTCCATCAATCGCTCTTTGACTTTGTGGTGTCTCGTATTTGGCTATCTCATCAGTAATGGATCTCCTCAAAGCCATTGAGGGATGTAAATGTTCAACAACCAGTATTTTCGCAGAGGAAAAGAAACCATCGGTGAGGAATTGAAAGAAGAGTGAGGAAAATGAGCAATAGAAGGGTAAGGAGTTGAAGTTTGCAACAATGAAAGTGAGAGGAGAGACTGGACAAATAAATCGGTAAGAGCGCGAGAAATTGTGGCTTTATATCATTCTTTTTTTTTTTTTGGGTCCAAATTACTCATTTAACCTAACTGGTTCAATAGGTCCAGATTATTTGAATTTTTATTCTGACCCATGTGGGATCAAGGCCTTTCTTTTTGAACTCCTATAAAGAAAGTTTCCCCTAGAGTAGCATCTTGTTACCTTCTAAGGGAGGGAAATATACTTCAAAATGTTCAGCTTGGCATCGAAATAAGTAGTTGGCTTCGAAACCAGTATTCTACTGGAATGATGAAGCCTATGTCTTAACCTGAGTAAGGTTAGGACTTGTTTAACAATTCGAAGGTCTTAAAAGTACAATCCTAGGCGTTCTACTAAAAAAGATTTCCTTCGAAGGAATATTCTATTATCTTTTTGAGGAAAGAAAGTGTACTTTTGAGAGCTTTGTTTTGGCTTCAAAATAAGGAGGTATTGTAAGGCCAGTATTTGCTGGAATGGTGCGAGAGTTTGTAGATTAAAAGATTTGCAAATTGGCAAAAAATGAAACCCATGCCTTTAAATTTCAAAAATATGAAAGTACATTCTTGGACTTTCTACTAAGTAGAGCCCTTCGAAGGAGTATATTATCACTTCTTGAGGGAAACCATGCAGGCTTCGAAATAGATGGGTTACTTCGAAGATAATATTTGTAATTATATGAACAATTTGACTGATAAAAGTCATGTATATGAACAAATATGAACCATGCAATTAGAACACAAAAACCCAATTTTATTGATGTGAATATCTACATTGGGAAAGCCTATTTGGCTACATTCTCAATTTTGTAAAAGTAAGGAATAGACAAGGTTACAAGGTCATAAAATTTTGTCCTGCAAAATTCAATAAATATATATTCTTTCTCTAACCTTCCCTCTATCCTATCTAAATTTGGCTTATCTAATTGGTGAGCCATTATTTGGTAGAAAAGTTGTTGGGCCTTCTTTGCAAATTCTATTTGCTTCAATGCTTTCTCCACTTCATCCATCCCACACATATCATCCATATTAACATCTTCCCCGTACTCTGAATCAGGTTTCTTGAAATCTTCATATTCTTCAAGAAGTTTTTTTTGTTTTACATTGAGTTTGGATACAAACAACAGAGATCTCCTCTAGGGATTCGCTGGTGGCCAAGGCATTTTTGTGCTAGTTAAACAACAAAAGGAGCTGGTCCAGAAAAGTGTGAAGTTCTGCTTGGGCCACTGGGTTGAGGTTGTGGCTTTGAGAGACAATGTCACAAGCCTATAGAAAATTATTGTGAGGAGTGTCATCTTGAAGGGCTTCAAAGGATAAATGAGAAAAGACGGCAAGCAGGGTCTGGGCTTTATATTGTTGATAAGTAGTTGGAGGAACTGGAGTCTGACAAGGAGCGAAATGCTGGCTTTCGAATAGTGTAAATTTTAATTCCTTTATCTAGTTGGGATTAGGAGGAAGGGGAGGAGTAGTTGGGTCCCCTCCAAAAGAAGATGGAAACTGAGGCTCATTTACACACTCTAGCCAGTCAGAAAAGCAAAATTTTACTTTCCAAGCTAAGAGTGAGGGGTTCATTCCCAAAGCTTCGATTGGGTAAGGGGTCTTTCATACTATTTTGGTCAGCAAGGTGGAAGTATACCATGTCGAAAGCAAGTTGTCTTCGACATAGTGAAGGTGGTCAAATGGAATATAGGGATATACCACAGAGCTACACGAAGAAGGAGGAATCACAATGGGGTCGTCAAATTCAATAAATCTGTGATGAATTCGCTCTCTTGTTTGGGGTTGGGTTGGTGTTGGCCAAGCATTCCAACTAGTAGTTCTAGTAGAAGATGAGGTAGTTTTGGAGCAGATGAAGAGCATCCAAGATCCATTTGGGCAAGTTTTTGGTCTAAAGACTCATGTTATGCGAAAGCCTCCATAACTTGTATAAATGGAAGAGGATAGATATGTCTAATGAATGCATGGAAGTTCTTTTGAGATTGATCATCATTGTCCAAAGCCCCTTCGTATGCTTGATCAATGAAAGAGAATGTTTGATTAGCCATCAGAGATGTATCAGTCTTTTCGTTTGCACAGATAGTGGAGGTAGGGTTCAAGCACAAGAGGGAATTCAATGAAGTTCAATGTTTTAAACATTGCTGGGAGACGATTACACATCCAGGATAAATAATTTCCATGCACGTTCTAGGACTTAGGCAAAATGCATTGATCCACTAATATTACCAAGTATTGGATATATTAGTGCGGAGGGTAATGTTGATTATATATTTTGTACAGACCTATCGCAACTCGACACGTGGATCATAAGAGGCAATTTGGAAAATAAGTAACGGTCTCCAATCATCAATAGACGCATGGCAACTTATAGTAGTGGCAATGAATCCGCGAGACATAGGAACAGTCAATATACCCAAGGCGGTGAAATTCAAATTCAAGAGGGAAGCCCAATTGTGGGAGTGGAATAGTGGGAGCAAACTGTTCAACGTCATACTTAGTGATCATGGAGATCACTTCCACAATTATCACATATTTCGACGGTTATCAGCCATTTCGACGGTTATCTTCAGAGCTTGTAAATAGAAGAGAGTTCTGATAATGCAAGACCCAGAACCAGATCTAGAAAATCAATTTATTTACTTTATATTCTAGTCCTTTAAATTCCAGTCTTTTACTTTCCTGTGCTGTATATCAAATTCCTGGGGGTGATTCTACAGTAGTTTGTTGATGTAATCCCATTCGAAGCTGTCGAAGTCCAAATGTATTATTGTAAACTCTAGTTCACTTAACAAAGTTTGATTTCTACCACTGTAATTCGTCTTTCTTGTCCTTTGATTAAGTCTTCTTAATTTTCTCCTAAAAACTAAGCCATCAATAAAGTCCTCTTCATTGAGGTTAAAAGAATTTCGAAACAATTGTCTGGCTAAATGGTTGGCATTTATTAATCTTTGTAAAGACTTATTAATCTTTGCTGACAAGCTCGAATTACATTTCAAACCTTCGAAAGTCAAAAAAATTAACAATTATCTACGCAAAAAATCAAGTTAATCCAAAATTTGTAACCCTATGAGCAAATACTAATTATTTTAAAAAAATTATGACGATCAAGTTAATCATTTATTTATTTATTTATAAAAATGTGCTCTTGTTATGGAATTATAAATGTCTAATCAGTTTATTTATTACATGGATAATTTATTTAACGAATTCTAAAATATGAACAATTCAAATTATTAAAAAAATATGAACGATTCAAATTATTTAAAAAAAAAAAAAAAAAAACTAAGAAAATGCCTCTACTCAAGCACCACAAGAGGATGTTATGACTTGCTCACAGTAGCCTCCGAAGTCCATATAACATACCCATGAGAGTAGTTACCCATAAATGGACAAGGTGTTTCCCACCCAGCAAAATCTACTGTCACTTTATTTATTTATTTATCTATTATTATTTTTGTGCCAATCTACATAAGAATAAAGATTGAATATAAAACGAACTATCAATTAATGAGAGTTCAAATGTTGTGGTAATAAGAAGTAAAAATTGTCAACTTAATCTAATTTATTATATATTATTAAGTGAAAATATTAGATAGAAAGGTATCACAAATATATTTATTATTTATTCTAATAAAAAAAATTTACAGACAAAGAATTCAATCGCAAGAAAATATCCCGAAAATACTGTGCAGTTTACATTAACAAGTCATGAATGTGTATCACATATTCGGTGAATTTTTGATTTGTAGTAAAAATGACGGGTAATACGAGAGTGTGGGTCACGCCTTAGGAAAGCTTGGTGGTGAAACTTGTTGGTTTGTTAACATTAAAATATGGCAATGAGAAAAATTAACACAAAATGACAAAATTAAGGAAAGAAAGAAAGAAAGAAAGAAAGAAATAGGCAATTTTTAAAACAATAATGATTGAGATTTTTTTTTTTTAAAGTTTCCTAGAGTGGTGCTTTGTGTGGTTGAGATTTAATGATAAATCACATCAATTTTTCAGCATTAAATCTCAACCACACAACACACCACTTTAGAAAATTTTAGGAAAAAAACACTTTAGAAGATGCTTGGTGTTCTATATATACATCAATAATAAAAATTCAAAGAAGACTGAAGGTTTCTAAAAAATTGAGAATGAAAATCAAGCAAGCACCACCTTGGGGCACAACTGTCATTCTCCCCATCTCAATTTTAAGGTTCTCTCTCCTCTCTCTCTCTCTCTCTCTCTCTCTCTCTCCTAACTGAAAACGACTGCAAGCAACCTGTGGTCTACCTATATGTATATCCCTTGGTTATATATATATATAATTCTGTATATATATATGGGGATGTAACAACACCGACTCAAACTCATTACCCTTCTTTAAAATTCTCTCTCTGGGAGTTCTCTCCCTTGTTGGGTTTTTCTGTGTTTGTGTTCATCAATTTGAAGCTCTTCAAGGCTTCATCAATGGTGGATCTTCAGACTGTGTGTTGTATGTGCGGTGATGTAGGCTTCCCTGACAAGCTCTTCCGCTGCACCAAGTGCCACCATCGCTTTCAGCACTCGTATGTACACCCTTCTTCTCGACCACCCACCACCACCACCACCACACACATATATATATCATAATCACCTAGTCGGGGTATGTTCTTCTAGCTATGATGTAGTTTTAATATCTTAGATTTTCATATGTGTTTATATAATTCTTCTCTTTTCTTGATAAAAAAATATTTATCATAATCACCATCACTCACATACCCATCATATGGAATCTCATCTTCTTCCTGATCACGGTTCTAAATATTGATCGTTACGTATCGTATTAATAATACTGATAATAACAAGTTTTTAAAATTTTAAAATTATTATTTGTTGATATATTAATCTATATCAGTTGATATATGATCGTATGGTTGATATTGAGACAATTATTTAGAATCATGATTTTGATCCTGTCATATGCATATGACTATCTCATCACTACAATCATCATAGTCTAAGTATAATTTTAAATAACTGGAGATATTTCAGCGAAACAGTTACATATTAGTCAATATGTATTAAATATTTAAAATCTAGGTGTGTGTGAAAGGGAACATCTTAGGTGGTTTAGTACACAAACTTATCATCATCATAGATGATCACAACATGATTAGAATTAAAATACTAGATTAGTTTATGACTAATATAATACCCATGTGTTTATGTTACCATAATTTTTTTGTTTTTTGATGAAATGGTAGGTATTGCAGCAACTACTACAGCGAATCATCGGAGCCAATTGAGCATTGTGATTGGTGCCAAAGTGAAGAGAGAAGTTCAAGATCTCATGGAAGTTCTTCAAAGAAATGCGCCGCTGGAAATGACTCCGGCAGCGGTGGCGGCGCCACCAACAGATCGGAGTACTCCGGCGACAAGATCAAGCAACATGACCGGGACGAGAGTGCCACCACCACCACCGCTGCCACCGCCACCGCCACTGCTGAGAAGGGGAAGAATCCAAGCGGCGCGCCGTCGCCAAGGACTACTACCCGCAGGTACAAGCTTCTCAAGGATGTCATGTGTTGAATTTGAATAAAAAAACATAGACTAATTGTGATGATGTCTTAAGGGTTGTGTGTCCATAGTAGCAATAGCAAATGTTGATCAAAAGTTGTTTTTATGTGCTTTCTAGTTATAACTTTTCAAGGTTCTTGTTATCAAATAATGGAACTCATATATATATAGATATATATTTTTCATATATAAATCATACAACTAGTGATTTTACCATGGTTGGGCACTACATATATTTGAGTGATGAATAATTTATCGTTATGATTGTGTATGACACATTATAATTCTATAGGGATTGTGTTATACGTTTGCAAGTCATGAAATTATATGGCTTGATTTAGCTAATGTATAATTATAATTAGTATTTTGAATCCAATATTAATAGGAGACCTGTTGTAGAGTCCAACGTCAAATTTGAATCTCATTGACCATGAAAATCAATAAGGATTTTAGGGTAATTGGTATCTTGAGCCCAATAATAACATAAGACTCCAAATTCAATTCTCATTGACCATAAAAAATAATAATTACTGCATTAGGGTAACTACTCGATAATAACATGAGAGCTCTCGTGAAGCGCATGTATGCTAAATTCGAATAGCATTGGCCATAAAATCTAGAGTATTATTAAGGTATATTTGTTGGTTCTTGTAGAGATAAACAATGTTGGTGGTTTTCTTGGCATTAACTTATTTTTATGATATCTTGAACTTAATAAAAATATGCGAGCTGTTGTGGAGCGAATGGCTAACAAACTCCAATCCCATTAAATATATGTGCATTCTAAATTCTGACTATACAACTAAATTTGAGAAGATTATTTCTTCTGGAATATCAAGATAGACAAATGTTAATACTTGATCTGATCTATACTAGAGGGGTATTCTAATGCTAAAGTCAACAAATTTCTATCTTTTGAAATAGAGTCAATAACATAAATACTATAAGGTATAATAAATTTTTAGAACATGCGTACCTCAAACCATGGAGGTGCTCAGTATTCTGCCTTGGAAAATGCTAGAGGTCCCAAATTTTCTATCAAATAAATGACCAAATGTCTTACATGGGTGTGGGGCCCACAAAATTGCGAACCCCACACCCATGTGAGACATTTGCTTATTTGTTTGATAGAAAATTTGGTATCCCTAGCATTACCCTTCTGCCTTCATCTGATTTTTTATTCTTACCCAACATAAGAGTCACTTCTCTATTGGAATTCAACCACCTATAAGAGTCATTGGGGTTTGACCAATGCCACAATCTCTACCAATTCTATCACATTGCATGACACCTCGGCCTGAGATTATGTTACGTAGTGAAGATCCTGAACCCACGTGATTTTACTAAAAAATATTTCCCCACATTATAAAAGAACAAACAAATGTATTAAGGTGTGGTTTCTAACAGAGATAAACAAGGTTGGTGGTTGCTTGGCATTGACCTATTTTTTTGTTGATATGGGTTAGGGTATGTAAATAGGTTTTTGTCTTTTGTCACCAACAGGGTTGTAGGTGGGAGTTGCACACTCAATGCTGTGTTGAGTCTCTTAAGGAGAATTCAATGCAATTTGTTGTCTTTTCCCCCCCAAAGAGTTCATCGTACCTAAAGCAGCTGGCGTTTTTACAGATTCACTGAAAAGATCTATTAATAATCTTTTAATGTTATTTAGAGTAATAAGGTGCCAAATTTAGGTTGAACTCAAGTAGAAAAAAATGTTAGTGCACTCAAGGTCTTGAATATCGATTAAGGAAAATGAGTGAGAACACTAATTAGTGCTATCACTAATGGTGTGGCAGTGGGCACCATTATGAATGATTTGATGTTTTGGTCTTGGTGTTGTATTTTTATTTTTATTTTTATTGAGTGTCATGCATTAGTGGTCTTTTTAGAGTTCCAAAATTAGTGATCTCTATCATTGTTGTATCGATTAATATGAATTGATTTTTTTTAATTTTTAATTTTTAAATTTTTTTAATTTTTAAATTTTTATAGAGAAGCATGCCGAATGAACAAAAACATATAAGAAATATTTTAATAATATAATAATATGAATTGATTTTTTTTTTAATTTTTTAATTTTTAATTTTTAAATTTTTACAGAGAAGCATGCGGAATGAACAAAAACATATAAGAAATATTTTAATAATATAAAAAGGGAACAATTTCTTTACTATGAAAAAAAACTGATTTGCCTTAAAAGCTTAGAACAATTTCTTTACTATGAAAAAAAAACTGATTTGCCTTAAAAGTTTACAATCCAATTTGTAGTGAACTGTTTGGTAGTCAAGGTACAATTCATGCCCCAAATCATGCATAAATTGCATAAAATTTAAAAGTTAATAAAATGGAAAAATTTGACGTAACTCAAATTATAATAAAAATCAAACTATCTAAAAAATTATAATTAATATTTTTTTAAAATTTGTTTTTATAAAAATGAAAATATTATTTTTAAAAAAGTCACATCTTCGTCAATTTTGAATTTAAGAGGTTGATATTCATTGATCATTTACCAATATTATTTGATAACATCTGATAAAAATCCGATAAATGATTGTGTCATGAGGACTAATATGTATCTCGATATAATTATTCAAAACCATGAATGCATAATGCAAGAGATTGAGAAATTTGAGAGTCAATTGAGGAATTTGAGTCTATTGGTGGTTGCTTCTAGGCCATTCATTTAAGTCATGAGTCATCTTGATTTTTTTCCCCCACATGGTCTGTACTATTGACTCGTAGTTTGTGAAATATCTTGAAAGTACACGAGCCTTGTTTGGAGACTAACCTCTCGTTTGGCATGTGGGTTAAAGAGTTGTTTTTGGTTATTTTAGTCAAAAAAAATAAAAATAAATAAATAAAATAAAATAAAATAGACTCAAATATTAACAAGATAAAATGTCATATTTAAATTATAATTATTTTATTTTTTTTTTCATAAAAGTCAAAAAATCTAAAAAATCCATCACAAACCAGATTTTTTAACTTTAGATTACAGTCAAAAAGTCAAAAAATTAACATACATTCCAAATAAAACCTAAATATTTAGTTAAAATGTCATTATAAATTATGATACAACTTTTTCATATTTGGCAATTTTTTTATAAAAAGTCAAGAAATTACTAAAAATTATCTATTCCCAAAACGAGGCCAAAGTTTACGAGACCTATACAATTTTTATGGAAATTAATCTTTTTAGTGATATTTTAATTTTTCGAATAAAAAAAATTCTTAAAAAAAGGGAGAGAGTTGACTTTTTGTATTGACTTTTTAATTTTTTAAACTGTTTTAACCAATTGTTAATCATGGTCTTAATCAAGAAATTATCGTTAATTTAAAATTTATGGTGTACATTAAAAGTTATTATTATTAAGGGTGCTCAAGAATTGGTTTTTGATGATTTGATCTATGGTTTGGATCTGCTTACATGTCTGCGGTTTGAAAAAAATTGAACTCGCAACTGCCCGCAGTGCGGATTTTGATTTGTGCAGATAGGATTCATGAATGTGCAGACGGTTGCAGGCAGTTTGCGAATTGGGCTTTTCCTTTAAAATTTTATTTTTTGGTTTGTTTGTTTGTTTGGTTTTTTTTTTTTTTTTTTTTTTTTTTTTTTTTTTTTTTTTTTTTTTTTTTTTTTTCCATTTTATAAATATTCTTTTTTGGAACTTTCCTCCTATTTTTTAAATATTATTTTGTGCCATAAATTCTCATATTTCTTATCATGAAATCATTATTTTTCAAATGATTTATTCCTAATAAATTACAACTTATCTATCCAATTTACTTCCAGAAGGAAACAAACTATAAGCATAGTCCATGACCAGTCAATTGACTCATATCTACTTTGCAGAAAATGTATAAACTAAACAATATATGCAGATGAGGGCAGGAGAGTGCAGGTGCAGAGAAAACCCGCAATCCTCCCGCAACCCAAAAAATAGAAATATCCTAACTCGCATCCGACTCTAATGATTATGCGAGACCGCCCAAATAGGTGCTGGCTATTTGGGTTGTACGATTTTTGCGAGTCAGATAACTCTATACCCAAATCTCATTTATTATGGAATTACACTTTAAATGAATTTGGACATTAAATATTATAATTATGAATATATATTTTTTCATTTTTTCCTTGAGATCATAGTATTATTGCTCGTATATTGGGTCTTGATAAGTGACACCCATGACTTTTAGCACCAAATTATTCTCTATTTTCGTTTTCTTTTTGAGTAATAATTCCAAAAAAAATATGTACAGAATGATATGATAAAGCTACACTCATTTATTTCAAATCCAACTCATCAAAATGGATTATAATTTCAAATGAGTAGTTTTACACACAATAAAAAATAAATAAATAATAAAAAGAAAAAAAAAATATAGAATTTTGATCTAGAATAATATGGCAGCCCTTGAGTCCTATCACTTTAAAAACAGAGGCCCATTAATATGATTTATATTTTCAAGATTATCATTGCTACATTATCCTAGTATAACATTTGTATATAATTTCAGTTTTCATTTAAAAAAATACCACAATCACGTCATCTTAGTGAAATTTTTTTGTATAAAAGTTGGAAGAGGCTACTATGTTCATCCCTAAACTAGTGCATATGGTATGCTTTTTATAAATTTTTCACAAAATTTCGTAATAAAAAATTAGAAAGTGTCATAATTTCTTTATTTGTAATTTTAGAGTTCACATTATAAATTCACTATTTACAACTTTACCTCATGTGGCATAATACTCAACAAACATTCATAACTTTCACCCTAATAAAATTATGACTTTCTTAATTTTACACCTTTCAAGAGTACATGCTATAAATTTCTCCACAAAAGTTTTACATCCAAGGTTTTTTTTTTTCCTCTCCCAGTTTGATTGTACCAAGGGTTGTTCAAATTTCATTTATCTCTCTCTCTCTCTCTCTCTCTCAAAGACCACCTATCTGACCTTCATGTGAACCTGATTTGAAGATGAAGAAAACTCACTATAAATACAAACATTATGACCCATTCTCAGTAGTTCCCATCTGCCCAAATATATATACTTTCCTTTGTTTCCAAACTATCATCAAAACTGTCACATGGTTGCTTGGCTTC